AAGTGGCCCGCACCAGGAAGATTTGATGTTTTGGCCTTGGTGTGTATTTTTTTCTTTTTTGTTGGAGTAACCTGTTATTAGTGGTCTTTTAGAGTTCCAAAATAGTGGCCCTATCATTGGTCGAATGCATAGGAAATAGTGAGAGCCTAATAGTTTACTATCACTAGATTGATGTGGCAGGTGGGCCCCACAGGAATGATTTGATGTTTTCGCCTCGGGTTGTATTTCTTTTCTTTTTTTATTGAGTGTAATTTCAATTAGTGGTCTTTTTTAGAAGTTCCCAAATAGTTGGCTCTATCATTGTTGAATGCATAGGAAAATGAAGTGAGAGCAACTAAATTAGTACTATCCACAATGATGTGGCAGTGGGCCCCACCGGGAATGATTGAAGTTTTGGCCTTGGTGTTGTATTTTTTTTCTTTTTTATTGAGTGCCATGTCATTATGGTCTTTTTAGAGTTCCAAAATTAGTGCGTCTCTATTCATTGTTTGAATGCCATAGGAACAGGAAAAATGATGTGAGGAGCCACTAATCAGTGCTATCACTATTGATGCGGCAGTGGGGCCCCACCAGGAAATGATTTCATGTTTGCCATGGTGTCTATATTTATTTTCTTTTTTATTGAGTGCCATGCGCATTAGTGTCTATTTAGAAGTTCCAAAATTAGTGTCTCTATTCATTGTTGAAGCATTGGAAAAATGAGTCAGCAGCACTAATTAGTGCTTCACTAATGACGTGGCAGTGGTCGCCCACCAGGAATGATTTGATGTTTTGGCCTTGGGTGTTGTAATTTTTCTTTTTTATTGAGTGACCTGTCATAGTGGTTTTTTTTTAGGAGTTTTTCCAAAATTAAGTAGTCTCATCATTGTTGAATGCCATATAATGAGTAGGAGCACTAATTAGTTGCTATCACTAATGATGCGGGGCAGTGGTTCCCACCAGGGAATGATTTGATGTTTTTGGCCTTGGTGTTTGGCATTTTTTTCTTTTTTTATTTGAGCTGCCATTGTGATTAGTGGTCCTTTTAGAGTTCCAAATTAGTGTCTCTATCATTGTTGAATGCATAGGAAAATGATGTGAAGCACTAATTAGTGGCTACACTGAATATTGCAATGGGCCCCACCAGGGAATATTGATGTTTTGGTCTTGGTTTGTATTTATTTTCTTTTTTTATTGCAGTTGCCATTGCCATTAGATGTCTTTTCGAGTTCCAAAAATAGTTGGTCTCTGATCATTGTTGAATGGCATAAGAAATGAGTGAGAGCACTAATTAAGTGCTATCAACTAACGATGTGGCAGGGGCCCCACAAGAATGCATTTAAATATTTTGGCCTTGGTGTTGTATTTTTTTTCCTTTTTATTGAGTGCCATGTCATTAGTGGTCATTCTTAGAGTTCCAAAATTAGTAGTCTCTGTCATTGTTTGAATGCATAGGAAAATGAGTAGGCAGCAGTAATAGTGCTATCACTAATGATGTAGGCAGTGGGCCCCACCAGGAATATTTGATGTTTGCCTTGGTGTTGTATTTTCATTTTTTATTGAGTAACATGTCATTATATGGTTTTTTAGAGTTCCAAATTAGTAGTCTCTGACATTGTTGAATTGGCCATAGGAGAATGAGTGAGAGCACTTAATTAGTGCTATCACTAATAATGTAGGCTTGTTGGTCCTCGACTCTCCAGAGCTTTCAATGAGAAGGTTAGACCCCGGTCTTTTCAGTTGCCACCAGGATATGATATGTATTGATCATGTTGTGGCCCTTCGTTGTTCTGAATTTTGTGTTATATACTTCTTTTTTATTAATCAGTGTACACCACCAGGATGTCAGGTACACTTAGTGGTCCCTCTAGAGTTCCGAAATTAGTGGTCTCTATCAGTTTGAATGCATTAGGAAAATGAGTTAGAAGCACTAATTGTGCAGTGCAACAAGTTTCTGTCCAAAGCACCCACAATATTGGTCCATGTGGCAGTGAGTACATGCGGCGCTGAGATTAGAAGTCACGATACTATGTAATGTGGTGTATGGGTACTCTTTAGTCAGTAGATGTGAGATTTTGATTAGTCTTTATATATTAAAGAGTTTTGGGCCCAATCAACAACAAGTTCTTAAAAACGCTACTATCCATGAGAATGTAAACACTCCTAAGCACAGTACCATTTATTAGTGGTCTTTTTAGAGTTCCAAAATTAGTGGCTCTATCATTGTGAAATGCATAGGAAAATGAGTGAGAGCACTAATTAGTGCTATCACTATGAAGTGTGGCAGTGGGCCCCACAGGAATGAATTGATGTTTGGCCTTGGTGTTTGCAGTTTTTTTCTTTTTTTATTGAGTGCATGTCATTGTGGTCTTTTTAGAGTTCCAAAAATTAGTGTCATCTATCAGTGTTGAATGCATAGTAAAATTGAGTGAGAGCACTAATAGTGCTATCACCAATGACTGTGGCGTGGGCCCCACCAGGATATTTGGATGTTTTGGCCTTGGAGTTGTATTGTTTCTTTTTTTAATTGGTGTGTCATGTCAAGTAGTGTTCTTTTTCGAGTTCCAAATTATGTCCCTATCATTGTTTGAATGCAAGGAAAATAGGTGAGCAGCACACTAATTAGTGTATCACTACATGATGTGGGCAGTGGGCCCACCAGAAAATGATTTGATGTTTTGTCCTTGGTGTTGTATTTTTTTTCTTTTTTTATTGAAGTGACATTGTCATTGTGGTTTTGTGGAGCAGATTCCAAAATTAGTTGTCTCTATCATTTTGTTGGAATGCATAGGAAAATTGAGTGAGAGCACTTAATTAGTCTATCACGGTAATGATTGTGGCAGTGGTCCCCACCAGGAATATTTGATGTTTTCCCTTGGTCTGTTGCAATTTTTTTTTTCTTTTTTACTGAGAGTGCCATTGTTCATTAGAGGTCCTTTTAAGAGTTCCGAATTAGTGGTCTCTATCATTGTTGAATTGCATAGGAAAATGGAGTGAGAGCACTAATTAGTGCTATCACTAATGATGTGGCAGTGGGCCTCACAGGAATTGATTTGATGTTTTTGGCCTTGGTGTTGTATTTTTCTTTTTTATTGAGTGCCAATGTCATTTAGTGGTCTTTTTAGAGTTCCAAAAATTAGTGGTCTCTGTGAGTGTTTGAATGCATATGAAAAGGAGTGAGAGCACTAATAGTGCCTATCACCAATGATGTGCCAGTGGCCCCACCAGGAATGATTTGATTTTTGGCCTTGGTGTTGTATTTTTTTCTTTATTTATACAGTTGCCATGTCATTAGTGGTCTTTTTAGAGTTTTCAAAATTTAAGTGGTCTCTATCATGTGCGAAGTGATAGGAAAAATGAGTGAGAGTACAAATTAGTGTATCACTAATGATGTGCAGTTGGGCCCCTACCAAGAATGATTTGATGTTTGCCATGATATTGTATTTTTTTTCTTTCTATTGAGTGTCATGTCAATTTGTGTCTTTAAGAGTGAAAAAATTAGTGGTCCCATCATTGTTGAATGCATAGGAAAAATGAGGGAAGAGCACTAATTAGTGCTCATTCACTATGATGTGGCAGTGGCTCCCAACCCCGGTAATGATTTGATGTTTTGGCATCGGTGTTGTATTTTTTTCTTTTTTTATTTAGTGTATTCATTAGTGTCTTTTAGAAGTTTCCCAAAATTTAGTTGTCTCTACTCAGTGTTTGAATGATAGGAAAATGAGTGGAGAGCACCAATTTAGTGCTATCACAAGGATGTGGCAGTGGGCCCCAACCAGGGATTATGTGATGTTTTGGCCTTGGTGTTGTATTTTTTTTTTTTTTATTGATTGCCATGTCATTAGTGATCTTTTTTTAGAGTTCCAAAAATTAGTTGGTCTCATCAGTGTTGAATGCATTAGGAAAAATGAGTGAGAGCATAATTAGTTATCACTAATGATGTGAAGGGGCCCCCACCTGCAATGATTTGATGTTTTTGGCCTGGTGTTGTATTTTTTTCTTTTTTTATTGAGTGCCAATTGCATAGTGGGCCTTTTTAGAAGTTCAAAATTAGTCGTCTCTATCATTGTTGAAATGCATAGGAAAATGAGTGAGAGCACTAATTAGTGCATCACTATGATGTGCGCAGTGAGGCCCCACCAGGAATGAATGGATGTTTTGGGCCTTGGCTGTTGTATTTTTTCTTTTCGAATGAGCATTAACTGCATATGCTTTTGTGGCCTAATGCTAGAACTTTTGAATAGGGAGTTTTGCTCAATAAACCTTTAATATTGGTTATCAAATATTGAAAGCTGCTGAGCGCGCGAGATAAGGCATCATGCTTTTTGTATCATAGGTAAAAAGCCACAGAAGGTGCAAACTTGACTTAGTGTAGGAGCAGCAGGTTAAGAAGAAGTTTGACCAATGGAGTTGGTCAACTGAGAGACAACTCTATGACCAATTACTAAATTCAAAGGCTGGTGGCCCATGAACTTGATTCTTCTTATCTGAGAAACTCATTTCAGAAGTCCCATTCCTCATTGCCAGACCCAAATCAAAGTCATCATTTGGCAACTGTCAAAACAAATTAAAGATGAGTCAAAAATAAAAAAAAAAAATTTTGAATGACAAATAATAGTTCTATCATTATGGTACAACATCGGTAGCCAATGGTTGAGAAGTGCTAGGAACGCCGATCAAAAATGACTCCACGTCATTAAAAAGTAGTGGTGTTCCTTCCAACAGTACCCAGTATCAGATTTTCTTCCTAAGTGACGCCGTATATTTACGAAATCATCGTACTATGGTCCTCGTCTCTACTCCACTAAGAGTCCCATCAACACTCCCTTGAACCATTTCGTTTGGTCTTGGGATTTGGAATTGCTTTGCAATTGTATTTTTCTTCGCTTTAAACCATCTCTTGATTTTGTGAACTAAGATCTGTTCCTTGGGATAGAATTTCTTGTTGGCAGGAATAGCCTACATAAAGCTGTGGAAAACCACCA